CTTTCCATTTTAAGTCTTGCACCGAGTCATGGACCTGAACCTCCTGCTTTCTACGTTCGAGCCATGAAGGATGCTGCTGCCGCCGCCTGCAGCCACAGGCCATGACAGGGAAGAGTGGCTACTCTCTTGCATACCTTGGGCGTCATGTCCCAGCTGCTGCAAAAACGTTCTTTTGTCCCAGATGAGCTCTTAATCGCTGTCGTCAAGGGCCACCTGGATGATGCTGCCGCCGCCTGCAGGACTGAGCTCCAGGGACAGCTGGCCACTCTCCACTTCGCTGGGTGAAAGAGCTGGAGGACCGTGAGGAGGTATAGCTGTCAGGGTGGGTCTTCTCCTTAGCAGCAGGTGGGCTCTGTGGCTCAGGCCAACTCTTGCCTTTTGTGGATTCTGAGCTCACTGTTGTGGTTTCTCTTGAGGCATCTTCAGTGGCCCAGGACTGCCTATGGCTGCCGTTGCCCCTTCCGCAAGCCACGTTTCTCCTTTTATGGCCTGTGTGCTCATCTTACCTATGAAAGCTTAACCATCGGACAAAAGAAGATGCATGAAGCTGATTGGTCAGACAATGCCTGGGTTGATGGCTGAGCCTGGGATGTTTGGTTACTGTTTCAAATTTTCTTATTTTTTTTAAATTAATTTTTATTAAAGTTTTCCTTTTAACATTGAAAGAGTGGGAACAATCTCAGTGATAGTAAAGTAGGAAAATAGTTGAAGTGAGGGTTCGAAGTGGGGGCAGACTGGGAAGAGGTTGGGCAAAGGAAAGGGGGAAAGGGGGGAAAGAAGGGGGGATGGGGGGGAAGAGGGGAGAGTAGTGAATCTCTGGTAACTTCCGTTCGGTCCACAGAGGTTGTAGCTTTCAGTTTAGTTGCTTCTTTTTTAAGTATTCTTTAAATTGATTCCAGTTAATTGAATTCCTCTTGTCCTGATTTTCCAGTAGGCACGAAAGTCTGTCCATGTCCATAAACTCTATAGCCTTCCTTATCCAATCGTCGTTTGAAGGTGTTTCCATTGTCTCCCATTTTTGGGCTATTAATATTCTTGCCGCTGCTGCCAGATAGAAAAGAATCTTTTCCTCATTTCTCTTCAAATCCAGGTTTGTTATATTTAGTAGATAATATTCGGGTTTCATGTCAAATTTCGTTTTTAATATATTTTGTATATGTCTGTGGACCGATATCCAAAATTTTTGGATCTCATTGCAATTCCAGAACATATGGTAGTATGTTCCTACTTCCTTTCTACACTTCCAGCATGTTTGGTTACTGTTTCAAATTTTCTTTCAGGCTGGAGCTAAGCAGGTGCAGAGAGCAAAAGAGAGAAGCAGAGAGACAGATTTTGGCGTGTACTCCTGCTTCAAGAGCTGCTGAAGGAGTTTATCCAAATGGACAAGGAAAAACTATTTTAAATCTCTCATAAAAGGACATTGTGTGAGTTGATGTGCAAGTGTTCACTCTGTACATGACTTGTTCTGAACTAAGAAGAATAAACTACGCATTGTTTACTGTTCACCTGTGTGGCATATTTTCTTTCTCTTAGCTATGTGTGGGCTGTATTAGTTGTCTATTTGTCTGACATGGGAGGGTCTGTTAGCAGCAAGCCTAAAAGCCCTTTAGAGCTCATGTTAGCACACTTTGACAAAAGCTTTGGAAAGCTAGACTATGGAGAACCACTAAGGCCCAGTAGGTTGCAAACTTTATGCCAGAAGGAATGGGTTAAATTTAACATAGGTTGGCCAGAAGAGGGCACTCTTGATCAACAAATCATTGCTAGTGTCTATGATAAAGCAAGAGGAGCAAATCCTTTTGAGGGAAGTTATCCCACACATATCCCATATATCCTAGCTTGGGGAGATGTGGTGAGCCAAATGCCAGAATGGCTGAAGCCTTGTGCTTTAGCACATTACAAAACTCTCCTAGCACAGAAAACTAAAGCTCCTATTCTGCCATGCCCTGTTGAGGAAGAAATCATTGTACCTCCTCCTTATTCAACTGGGGAGCTCATAGCCCCCCAGGCCCCTGCAAATCCAGCCCACGATCCAGCAACAGTAAGCCCTCCAACGCACCCTATGGCCCCAGCACAACTGTACCCAGATCTCCCTGAAGATTTAGATGATGACACAGACTCTACTATGACTGAGTCTTCTTCAACTCCTTCCCCTGAAAAAGAATCCCTACAGGCAAAGGCAACTCTGAAAGCAGCAAAAGGCCATGACCATAACTTAAGGAATATGGACAAGGCAAACAAGAAATTGGCTACAGTAATGCCCCTTCGTCAAGTGAGGGAATTCATAGGGACTCAAGTTGAGGGTGGACAAGTACCTTGGTTCCGGCCAGCTTTTACGCATGTGCCATTTACCAGCTCAGCTCAGATCTTTTCAATTGGAAAACACACACCACCCCCTTCTCTACAGATCCAGGACCAATGACAGATGTTTTCACTAATATTGTCAATACACATGACCCTACATGGCAGGACTGTCAGCAGTTGATGACGTCCCTCCTTACTACGGAGGAACGTAAGAGGGTCTTAGCAGCTATGAAGCGGCAGACTGAGGCTAGGAGAAATGCTGCTGTTAACCCAGTTGACCACATGAGGGAGAATTGTCCAGAGGCTGATCCACAGTGGGATCCTAATATAGCAGCCCAATTGGCTCGAATTCATCAGTATGGCCAGTTAATGATCCAAGGCCTTGCAGAAGCTGGAAAAAAGCCTAGTAACTTATCTAAAGTAAAAGAAATAAAGCAAGGTGCTGATGAAAGCCCAGGCGCCTACCTGGAAAGGCTGTTAAGTGCCTACAGACAATACATGCCTTTTGATCCCGCAGTGGAAGCAAATAGAAACATGGTGAATGCTACTTTTGTAGAACAAAGCGCCCCAGATATTAGAAGAAAGCTACAGAAATTGGATGGGTTTGCTGGAATGAACATGTCTCAATTAATTGAAATTGCTAATAGAGTCATGGCAAATAGAGATCAGGAAGAGAAGAGGGATAAACAGAGGCACTGAGGGAATGGAACCCAGGAAGAGGGCAAAGCAGAGGGCGAAGCAGAGGGCGAAGTTATGGGCCAGGAAGAGGACAGCCCCTCGGGCAGAACCAATCTGCCAACTGCAAGAACAGGGACATTGGAGGAGAGATTGTCCCCAGATAAGAAGAGGGAGAGGAAGAGGACACCCACAAGAGCAGAGAGGAAGAGGAAGTGAGGTGCCCGGAAGACAGAGACCCTTCTATCAAGAAGCACGTGAGCAGCCAGGGGAAGAAGGATTCATTGGATTGGCCGGAGGCCCCCAATGGTCAGGGCCAGAAGAGGACTGAAGCCAGTCCGGGGTTCTAACCTTGGGATCCAGGGAACCCTTGGTCAAGGCAAAAGTAGGATCCCAAGAAATAACATTCCTAGTCGACACAGGAGTGGAAAAATCAGTAGTTACCACCCCATTGGCCCCCATAACTCAGCAAACCATAAAAGTTATGGGAGCAACAGGAGACCAATGTCTCCGACCTTTTCTACAGGAGAGAAGATGTCAGCTAGCAACTAAAGAAGTCACCCACAGTTTTTTATATATGCCTAACTGCCCAGTTCCATTGCTGGGAAGAGACATGCTATGCAAACTAAAAGCAAGGCTATCATTTGAGGAAGTCTTTTCTGGGTCAGAATGAAAGTCCTCCAAGTCTTTTGCTAGGGAAGTTCCAAATATCATTGGTGAATTTTTAAAACCTTGAGGCAATCTTGCCCAAGAATATTGTTGTTTTGCTCCTGTGGCTGGGTCTTCCCACTCAAAAGCAAACAACAACTGGCTTTGGGGGGCTAACCTTATGGAGAAAAAAGCATCTTGAGGAAGATGGATCTGCTAAGATGGCTTTAGGAAGAACCACAGGCCTTTTGCACCTCACCTGCCCCATGGAGGAGGAATGGAGGCTGCTAGTAGTTAAAAAGGGCTCAGAGAACAATGAATGGGAAAAGTTTGAAACTCCTGAGGTATGGGCAGAAGATAACCCCCCAGGCATGGCCAAATACATACCTCCGGTCATAGTAGAGTTAATCCCCGGAGCCCATCCAGTCAGTCTAAAGCAGTATCCAATTCCCAGACCAGCAATAAAGGGAATCCAAAAACATTTGGACCGTCTGTGGCAGCATGGCATTATAACAAAATGCCAGTCTCCATGGAATACACCACTCCTTCCAATCAAGAAGCCAGGTACCACAGATGATTTTCGCCCTGTTCAAGACCTTAGAGAAGTCAACAAGGCAACAGTTACCTTGCACCCAGTTGTGCCAAATCCTTATGTGATATTGGGACTCATACCAGCAGAGGCCACACATTTTACAGTCCTTGATCTTAAAGATGCTTTTTTCTCCATAAGGTTAGCCCCCCAAAGCCAGTTGTTGTTTGCTTTTTAGTGGGAAGACCCAGCCACAGGAGCAAAACAACAATATTCTTGGGCAAGATTGCCTCAAGGTTTTAAAAATTCACCAACGATATTTTGAACTTTCCTAGCAAAAGACTTGGAGGACTTTCATTCTGACCCAGAAAAGACTGTCCTTTTGCAATATGTAGATGATTTACTTTTGGCCTCCACCTCAATGGAAGAGAGTTGGGGTGCCATCCAGCGGCTACTCCAATTACTTTGCCATAAGGGACTGAGGTAAAATACTTAGGATTTCAAATAAAACAAGGATTTAGAAGCCTAGGAACTGAACGAAAGCAAGCCATCTGCCAAATCCCAGTCCCCACTACGAGAAAGAGAGTCCGCGAATTCTTAGGGGCAGCGGGATTTTGTAGAATTTGGATTCCTGGCTATGCAGTATTGGCAAGACCTTTGTACCAAGTTACAAAGGGGGGTGAAAAAGAACCCTTTAAATGGACACAAGAACAGGACGAGGCTTTTCAGCAAATAAAGTCGGCCCTGATGACAGCACCAGCTTTGGGCCTACCTGATGTAACCAAACCCTTCACTTTTTATGTTGCTGAGAAAGGGGGTGTAGCCATTGGCATTTTAACTCAGACTTTGGGCTCCTGGCCATGACCAGTGGCCTATTTGTCTAAACAGCTAGACATGGTAGCAAAAGGATGGCCCCGATGTCTACGCGCAGTAGCAGCTGCCACCTTAGTAGCTGAAGAAGCCCGGAAGTTGACCCTAGGACAGGATTTGACCATCAAGGCCCCGCATGAGGTAGTGACATTGTTAGAGCACAAAGGACACCATTGGCTTACCACCTCCAGAATGCTGAAATACCAGACGTTGTTATGTGAGAATCCTCACATTAAGGTTCAGCAATGCACTACTTTGAATCCTGCTACCCTCTTACCTATAGATCCCCATATGGAGAAACATCATAGCTGTATTGAAGTAATGGACACAGTATATGCCAGTCGACCTGATTTGACTGATGTTCCATTGCAAGGAGCTCAGCTCACCATATACACTGATGGCAGTAGCTTTATGGAAGAAGGGGAGCGAAAAGCAGGATATGCAATAGTTACCATCAAAGAAATATTGGAAGCAAATCCACTGCCAGCAAATACATCAGCTCAAAAGGCTCAGCTCATTGCTCTCACCAGGGCTCTGGAGATAGCAAAGGGAAAGAGAGTTAACATATACACTGATTCAAAGTATGCCTTTTCAGTACTGCACGCCCATGGTGCACTTTACAAAGAAAGAGGACTTTTAACTGCAGCAGGCCAACCAGTCAAACATGCAGAAGAGATATTACATCTCCTAGAAGCTGTATGGGCCCCAAAACAAGTAGCTGTGATGCACTGCAAGGGACATCCACCAGGGCAAGATCCGGTAGCACAAGGGAACCGAAGGGCCGATGCAGCAGCCAAAGAAGCCGCTGCCAGACCCCTTCAGGTGGCTACCCTTCTCCCCTTGCCCAATCCCAAGGTGCAGCCTACCTATAATAAAGAAGAACAACAATGGGCCCAGGACAATGGAGCAGTAGAATTGGCAAACTCCACTGGTTGGTTAGCCTTTCCGGATGGAAGAATAATTGTCCCCAGAACCATGGCATGGGAGGTAGTAAAAGGAGACCATGAGTCAACACATCTAGGCAAAATGGTGCTAGCTAAACTACTAGAAAGACAACTGTACATAGATGGACTCCACTCTTTGACAATGGCAGCTTCAGCTAG